GGTTTATGTTGCTTCCCTTTCCCCTTCCAAACTGGGTTGTAACAATAGCCACACGCATTGCGAAGGTTTTCAGAAGGAGAGGCAGAAAGACTTGGCACGTCAGCACTTTCGAGACAGTTTGCTATTGGCAAAGTTCACCAAAGATGATGAGCTTGTAAGATTATGGGTGAGCAGCAGTTATTTCCTTTTTTGCTTTTAGTGTATGCAAAAGCATTATTCTGGCTCGACAATGTTGTTCGCACCTCCCTCTTTACCAATCCATACATTTAGAGATAAATTATCTAGTGACGGACAGGCAAATTTGTCATTTTAAATGACCAATGTGTCTAAACACATCACTTAATAGTACAACTGCATTATCATACCCTGTTAAAAAGGATGCTCTTTGAGAGTGAGAAAAATATGTCTACTGCAAAAGCATATATCTAAATGCATACAATGGAAAGAGTAAAATTGAAGCAACATGCCAGAGGTCTCCTTTCCATTTACATGAGGAAAGATAACGATGTATGAAAGCCAGGCAGAAGTCATCAAATGCCAACAGTGTGCATTATTCAGACTACAGAAATGTTAATACAGAGGTTATGGCCAATAATTATTTCCTCACTAGGAAATAAAGAGAAAGCACCAACACACCAGTGTTACACACAGCACTGAGCATAGGCACATGCACCAATACATGTTAACACACAGGTCATGCCACTTGAAATTACTTCCACTTGACAGTGTGTGAATATGGCAACCCTTGGCAGCATGCTGTGCAGTGTGCAACCTCAAGAGACGAGTCATGTTAAAGCGAAATTAGCCTGATACAATTTCCATGGTAATACGGAAGCACATACAGTATGTGGGAATACTAATTTAAATGCCAGTAAGTAAAGTATTGCACTTGCATTATAAATGTGCTTCAGAAATGACCTGATACTGGTCCTGCATTCGCTGACTTTTATTTTTGCAGTTTAGAATACATTCTGAGTAAACATACAGTATGTATGAACTGTGTCTGCATCATGTACACTCAATGGGTAATATCCAGCAGAGCTTAAAGGCATCTGTCACACCATACATTATGAATCTGTGCCACAGTTGATAAACAACAGAAGATGTGTCTTATCTCATCCATCTATGCTTTCATGATGGAATTTGGTTTATGGTGTTGCATTTTATGATCTAGTTTTTTGGGGAATTTATTATTCTCTGATTGGCCGGAAACCTTGATCAAGGTTGGAGAACTGTCAAAACGAGAACAACAGAAATAAGTCCAGGACATTATCTTTCTATTCCTGACCAAGTCTGACATGTTGTACTTTATATAATATATTTGACTGTTACCAATAAACCAAATCCAAAAATTAATTAAAAACAGTAACATGTTTTTCCAGAATGTGTCCCCGTCATTCTAATACACAAAACAGATTTCATGGGGACAATTTTTTTGGTAGACAGTAGTTCTAATAATGTTAACAGCTAATCTGTGATTTACCCAAATTAATACCCAGAACAATGTATATAAAAATAAAATTTTGTCAAATGCTTAATGTCATTTTCAGTGCTGTGAAGACCACAAAATATTAAATTTATCTTCATTATTGGATATCTAAGAACCAATAAAAGATGCTAAATGCGACTATAAAGCTGAGGATGAAAATGTGTTTCGTAATTTGGGCAAACTGACCTTTTCATTTTCATGGTTTCCATGATTTATAGGGCTGCAGCTAACAATTACTTTCATTATGGAATAATCTGTCAATGACATTCTCGATTAATCGATTAGTTGTTTGGTTCATAAAATGATGTAAATGTTGATCAGTGTTTCCACAAGCCCAGGGTGACGTCCTAAAATGTCTTATTTTGTCCACAACCCAAATATATTCAGTTTACTGTCATAGAGGACTAAAGACACCAGAAAATATTTACGTTTGAGAAGCTGAAATCAGAGAA